TTCGCTTTTGTGTATCCGCCAGCAGCACATGCCGACTGCTGAGAAAAAAGGGATCTTTAGACAACAGCTTCACGGACTGCCTGAAAAACTCACATGCAGCAATCTGCCCCGTATGGTCGCCTTTTAATACCATAGAAAAATATACGGTTTTCCGTACACGGAAAATATACGGCTTGTAGTTTGCAGTTCGGGTTCACAATTATTCGGGAATTGGAAAGGTTTTCGAAAAGCAAATTATACCCTTCCTTCAAGTTCCAAATTGGAAGCAGACGTAATTTTTTACCGAAAGAGCTGAAGAATGGATATTTTTATGCCTGTTTTCCATGAAATATAATTGAATTTTTGAGGACATCGAAAACCAATGGGAAAAATTCGTGCTACTTAAGTAGTCATTTTTTGCAGAGTATAGCTTTTGCATGTTACCGAAAAGAAGTTCATTCGAAAGCCAGCAATCCGAGGTAACATATTTATTATAGAATTGTTCTGCACGATGATTAGTTTCACAACCCTAGTTAATTAATCTTTTCGAAACGAAGACGCAATTCGGAATTTCGGCTGACATTTCATGAGTTAGCCCACCTACTGTAGGCGGTGACAGTCACGTTAAATCATCGGCCATAGCGGTCGATGGGAAAGGAGAATTAAGGGAATCCAAGTGTCTCGTTGGGGGCCGGGGGTTAAGACGTTGCCAGCCGTCGTCCGTACCCTCGTAGGCCTTGGCTGTCGTCCCAGGATAGGAGTCTTGTTTACGTTTTCACAACTGTCTGGTTTCCTGTCTGCCGTAATTATGGATGATACGGCCGTAGTGACAATCGTGCCCTCCTCGGATACGGATTGTGGTGCGGCTACGTGCGTGTGCACAGCGAATTCGCTCATGTTTGGCTTGGGTTCGCAACTGATCTTTTCATTGAGTTGCGTCCAGAGGGCTTGATAGGCCGCAGGAAGGGTCACACGACGGTTGATGGAGATTGTCCCCTGTGCCAAGTATCGATTTTTGTCCTGGATGCGTGGTTGCTTTTTCGACTCAGAATTTCGGAATTCTGGGAGGCAAACGTGTGTCCAGAGTCGGCGCAGTGCACCGCCATCAGCGACAATCGGCCATTCCTCTTGACTGTCCTCGTGTGTTCCCAAACACGGGTCTGTATTCGTTTACCGGTCTCCTCGATGTAGTTCACTCCGCAGGAATTACATGAATTCGGTGGCTGAAGTTTATGGTTTCACCTTCCGGAAGGGGGATCTTAGGTCTCGTGACCAGCTTTCGAATGGTTGACTCCAGCCAAAGGGTGATGCCGATCGCCAGCGGCCTTAAGTGACGGGGGACCGCCTCATAAAAGTCGTCGAAGCATGGAAGCGCTCGCGAGACTTTTGGCTGTTCTGCCACCCGACCCCCGCGCACGGCTAAGTTCCTGAGATTGCTGTTGACCACGAAGAGGCGCTAAAGGTTGCGGAGTTCTGTCCTTTTGTAGTGCGACTTGCTGCAATGTGCTTCTGACCTTCCATAGAGAGTTGGCACGCAACTGCGTTTGTAACATAACGGGTTCTTCATTTACTTGCTCAGGATTTAACGCAGACTGGTGGTCTTCCCGCATACCGTCGTTTTTAGGTGCCGATTGATTTTTCGATTGACGAGACTCTCCAGAAAACCGCCAAACCGAGTTTTAGTAATGGAGATGAGGAAGTTTCCGAATCGTATGCACACGTGCAGGTTGTTCCTTGAACTCATTCTCTCTTCTTCTTCGTCTTCGTGTTTGCGTACACCCTTGAGTAAGACCACTACTTCAGTTAGGACGGCACTGAAGTAGTCACATCGGCTACCATCAGAGAGGCGCAGAAATTCCTCGGAGCTTAGCATTTTGCCATGACCAGCATCAATCGCTCACCACGAGGACTGACCTCCACGCCCACTGACTTGTTTCCACGCCCTGACGACAACTTATCCCTCCTCAATCACGTAGAATTTGACTATCTCGCCCCATTCTCCATGCGTCACGGCGAACCACAACCGAAACTCCTAGTACCTCCCATGCCGAAGCACTGACCCATGACCTCGTCCCGAATCAATGACCAACCGCCCGCATTTCCACTGATCCACAATGTCCCCTCTCCCCATCTTCCTCCTTCAACACAAGGGGCCTTAATGGTTCTCCCTTCCCTCACCTCACCCCCAAAACTTTCCATAACTCAGTGCTCACCCCTCACGCACTAGCTGAGTGTCTGTCGCGTCAACCGATCTAGTCTGACGATCTCACATTTTCTTCTGTACATGTCATCTGAGGACGATTTTGTATCACCGGCTCGGAAATTCAAGAGTACAACTCGATTTCCGAAGGGCCTTCATGTATACGCATATATGTGCAGAATGACGTAACTTACAAAGACTTCATGTGTCAGTTAGAATAAATAGTCAGAGCAATGTTACCGACAAAGACAAGAGAGACTGGAGCGGCAATTTCGTCAGCCGGCCGTACACAACCCCAGATTTTCGCAACCCTGTGAAGCTCAAATCCGCTTTCGTTTACTTAAAGGTCGAACAGACTAACCACTAAGGGACGAGCTTATGATTCTGTCGGTTGATACTGGGTACATGAAGGATGACGGAAGGGCGATCACAGACCATATTATGGGATATATTCTTTCCTTAATGTGATTGGTAAGTGCCTGTATATGCTAAGTTATCAGAATGACTGGAAATATACAAGGTCTAGCGTCTCTGTGTGGGGAAATGTGGTTAATAGAAGCGACCACGGCAACAATGACTGTATTGTTTTGACATTTCCTAATCAGACGAGTCGGCATTCTTCGAGATGAATGCTCCATCGAGTTTCGAAGCATCTAGGAGTTTGTTGCCAGGCTAGCATGCCGCTAATAGCTGCATAATTTCTGCAGCCTTCGCATATGTCGTGGTGGCGCCTGCCGTGATGGTCCTTCGAAGACCTGTGGTTGGATATTGGCTGTCCCCACTTCAAAATCCATGACGTTTTACTGTCGTCTCGGGATCCTTAATCGCGTCTGCAACCCCAAACGCACTTACCTTCGCCTGCCGGGGCACTGCTCGCAAAGGCAGTGATGACAATTGCCTCACAATACGATTGGGATCTTGGCGTCCCTAAGTTCGTGTCTAGTTTAATTTGTCCTGAGCCCAGGATGGCGCTTGGTCTGGGTTCTAATCTGTTATTCTGCCTCCAAACGGCTTGACGGGCGACGGAAGGTACCAAACAACAACTCATGGCGGTTCTACCTGCGTGCAGGTCACACTATCAGTTCAACTTTCAATACCTCCAACAACTCACTAATGGAAGAGAATGTGCGCATCCCTGGTTCATGTTTAAAAGAAGACGAAGGCACGATCACTGGGACAGTAGATTTATTTGCCTGAGCTTTCGAACTCGAAC